GAGCAGATGGTCTGCGAAATGCCTGCGCGCCCGGTTATTTGAAGAGCATCAATACGCCAAGACAATACGCACTGGTCGGAGGAGACGAAAGCCACCACCGCGCCTGTTGAACTACGCAAATCAAATTTTGCAAGGAATACATCGTGGCCGGGGCGGGACCAGCTCCACATAAGGTGTCCTGTCTGCAGATCCAAGCACTGGAGGGCACCACCGTCTGATTGTTCCACGAATGCGATAAGGTGAGTCGCCGATAGGAAAGCAGTATCGGGAATGGCCCGCGGTGGCAGTGGAACGGTCTGTTTACGCAGAAGAATTGGAGGGTCCAAGGAAGTGGGCGACCATGAGCTGGGGCCCGCTACAGCGCGCCTAACCTCGTTTTTGAGTGCATCCGTGGACAACGCCTCAACACCGTCAAACGGTAGATCCATAAGACGGCGGTAAGACAGATCGAACACCACAGAGAGCCAGACTGGTCTTGAGGACGAGATTTCGTACAGATACCTGTTCACCTACCGCCGTAAAGGTGAGCACCTAACTGAGGCGACAATAAACGGAAGATATACTCGGGATAGGGAGATGATGGTGTATACATCTGTGAGATACAATATGGCGAAAAGAACATCTGGAGGGAGTTGGTCCAAACGCATTGGTGGATGAGGTCTCAGGTGGGTGTGGTCAAGCGCAAACAAACTGATAGGAATCAGGTGATATTCGGCATTATCGACCGAAGCATGCTCTGATAATCCGAAAGGGTGTTAAGATCCAGAAATGATAAATCACGCCGCATAGCTTGAAGTTATGATCGCTCCGCCGAATTCCGTCCAAATTCAATACAGCGCATCGTCTTAGCCAGCACCATCCCACCAAGCGACGTTTCTAGGGCTGCCGCCCGTTACCGTAACGGCAACGGCCGTCGATTTGGCGGCCGTTTTTCTAGTTTCCACAGCTCCAACGGGACGGGACGGGTGACGGGACGGCCGTTACGGCCGTAATGACGGGTGGTTGATTCATTTCGCTATTTCACCCCAATTTCATCGATACACCGGTGAATTTCGGCTCGGATTCCCTTAATCTTATGGTTTACCACCCATTTCAGCATCCCTTCGTCGTTTGCCGGGAAACAACCACCTCAAACTTATAGTTGAACTTCGGCAATCAACCTCGGAGTTCGCCGGGCAGCGCAACCAAAGAAATCTACTGCTTGTTTTAACCAACAGCACTTCAATGCAAACAAGAGAGGCATCCAATGGGTGAGCCTGGTAGATATACACATATTTACACAGAAAAAATGCTAAAATGGGTGGTTTCAAAGCACCTTTGCAAGACCCGTTTCAACGGCCGTCACGGCCGTCGTTCAACGGGCCGTTGGAAGGTAAGAAAATTTACCAACGGGACGGGAACGGCACCCGTTCGACGGCTGCCGTTGAGCCGTTGCGACGGTCACGGGCGGCAGCTCTAGACGTTTCTGAGAATTAATATCGGGGGCTCTTGTATCGAGCAAGTGGCCGGGCCCATTGGCTCGTCTGGCCGGTTGCCCGGTAGGAAATAGTAAATGGAATCGGAAGACCGCGATATGAATAGTATTGTATCTGTGAGAGCGAAAGAAGCCAAACAAGCATCAGCGCAAGAATGGTGTCCGAGCTGCGGTGGGTGCTCCACGGTAGGTGATGGACATATTCACATAAGGACCAGTTGCAAATCTATGCACTGGTGTTATGAGTACAGAATCAAGCCGCTGTGGATGATGGTTGATCGTCCTTTGTTTGTGCTGAGGACGGTAACTTGACAATGAAGGGAACATGCGGCGGCGGTATTAGTTTCCTCAAATGCTTTTTCACTCGGCGAGTGATCTAGACCTCTTCTTGAATATAAGATTAAATTAATTGCGTTCCGATTGCTGAAGAACTGCCAGATGCTCAGCAGTGGCCTACGACATTCTACCCTCCACTGCCGCCTCTATCGACTTCATGTAAAATAGATCCAAGGTGCTGTGGAGCATTGGCTGCTGGTGTCCCTTGAGCTTACAAGCTCATGATGCGGGCTCGACTCCCACCGCCAGCATGGGGCAATCAATGCGAGTGTTTTTCGTGCGTTTATCCTAGACTGTATATATCCCAGTAAATCCTTGAATCGAAAAGTGCACGGCGTGCCCGTGAACTTCAAAAATTCTGTGAACCCCGTGAACTTCCTTATTTGGCAGGGTCTGGCTTCAAAGACATGCGCCCTCCTGACGTGCGCTACCCTCGGCAAAGAGACAATAGCTCCTGGCACTATCGGCGGCGGCAAAACATTAACACCATTTTATTAACTAATTCTACTAGGTACGTACCCGTACCATTGTCTGCGACGACGGGCAGCGCACCCGCCCGCGACAACATGTCATTGCTATCTGGTAGGGAACCGAGAGTGCACGGGAACTGCGAGATACAGTGGCCTGCGCCGGCGGCGCGCGGGAACAATGCAAAGATCAAGGACCACGGGTGAGCCAGCAAGCTTGCCGGTAAGCGGGCCTGGCTTGTCCACGCGTGATGCTGGCGTTGTGACGGGGGCCGCGCTCAACGTCAAGGCGCGGGGGTCGCGGGGTCGGATGGCGGTCGGATAGGGCGTTGTGAGCGTTGTATTTAGGGCCAAATCCTGTCGACTCCGAGCATCTATCTGGGGACGGGGTCGGGCGCAGAGGACGGTAGCAGGTTTTTCCCTGTGTGGGCAGCAGCTAGGCGGGATTGGCGAAGAGCAATAAACACGGCGGGATGGTGGGACGGGATGAAGAGGCGGGTGTGGCTGTGGCGACCACAGTTGACGGACTTCACCCATCACTTCACGCAGTTCACGTACTTCACGTAGTTCACGGCGAACTTCGTGAACTTTCTGATATACGTATGTTCTCATATATCCTATAGGCTTGGACTATGTTCTATGGCCGCTGTTGAGCATGGTTTTCCATCAGGGGTGGTTTTTTTTGTTGGTTCAAGTACGGTTCAAATCGTTCAGAGCCTAACGGTTCGATCCATGGGTTCAGCTCTCTGGCCTGGCAGCATGTTGCCTGTCCCCGTTTCCCCTTCCTTTTGCCCTTTATTCCTTCAGCTGCCCTTTTGTTTCCTCAACGACATTAAAGGTTTGAACTCCGACCCTATCGGGAACGTGCGAGGATAGGTCGGCGCAAGTGATGCAAGGAGATATCTGCTTGCAAATTGCAATCACCACCTTGTCGTCGTCGTCACTCTCCACACCGCCCATCGCCGTCGAACATGGCCAGCACAGAAGAACAAGACCCGTCGTCAGCGAGCTCAGACCAGTCCTCGCCATCGGTGGTGTTAAGGAGTAGGGGCACGGGCCGGATCATCCGAAGTTCAATGTGTTGATGAAAGGCTTGCTCGTGTTGGTAGAAATGTTCTGGAACAGCACAGAGAGAACCTAGCTCTATTCCCCATCAAAGATGAGGAGCAGGCCTGCAGGTGGAATTGGTTGATGAACCCTTAATTCAGTTGTAGTGTAAGTTACTTGCGTCTAAGATTTCTGGATCCAGAAATAGTCTGAGTAACTACAGCGGTTTTTTTTGTCTATGCTCTGTGAATGAAAAGCCTATTTATTTACTAGCTGGTCTTGACAGTCATATGAGTTGTTGCTATGATATGCTTTTTATTGCTTATTGGATGGTTCCTGTGGCATGTGCATAAAACCGATGAAATTCATCTTGAATACACCAACAAAAAGTTTGACACTTGAACACTGTAGGTTTGTTGGTAAGTGTTGGTTGGGACGGCACTGAAAGGTCAAGTCCTGACTTTTTCCGACACAGGCTACATGTCCAATTTTGGTAGACCAGCAAGCCATATGGAGCAGCAATTTGGGTTGAATAATGAAATTTTAGCAAGCAGGAAAGCAGATTGCACAGAGCAATCCCCCTGGCACGGCTGGGGTGTGGAAAAATTCTGGTGGCAGCGGTCAGTAGGAGATTTCAGTGGACGAGAACGAAAATGAGGACAATACTTGGGATGCATCTGCGGCTGCTCCTCTGCCCGTTGCTTGAGCACGCCCCACCTGTTGCTGGAGTGCGGGGTGTTGCTTGATTTGGCAAAATCAACCCAATTTCTGGCATTTTTTGAACTATTTGACTAGTTCAACATTTCTTTGTTCAATGAAAATCATGAACTGTGTATGTAGATTTCAGCTGCTATGGATGCTTGGTTAATAGCCCTTTTTTTATGAACCATTGACGGGGAAATCCATTCTCCCAGATGTTTTATTTGTGCTGCGACACCAATTCCATCTCCCTTATTGTGCTGTTCGACTCTGAGTGTAAGGCTCAAAGCTGAACAGCTGTGTACCTGCTGTGGTGCAAAGTAGTGGACACACTTTGCTTGTAACAACAGGTGGGGAGATATGGGTTCAATTCCCACCAACACCATACATCCATATGAACACTGTTCACTTTTTCTCGGGCCTAGCGCATTGTGATTCCGGAATAATATCTGGTACAGATTTAAATGGCGGTACCCTATGAGCAGGTATATCTACACACCTCTGTGCAATGTTGAGTGGCAGATTCAAGCAACCGTGGATTTGGACAATAGTCCTTTGTTTTGGGCCCCGCAGAACCTGGCAGGGAAGATGCGATATGGGTCTTGGATTGAAACAAGTTCTTGCACCGAGTTACGGTGTTGGAAGTGTTACAAACTCTCCTATTTGTAACCATGGTAAGGGAAAGTCATTGAAAGGAAGATGTGGGTTTGAATCCCGCCGGCAACATGTACCGAGGGAAACCTTTTCCCGCAGTCGGAGATTTCAGCTTGACTGTATCCGCTTGGGATCCGCTGCATTCACAGAGTCTCACCCTCGGCTCATTCCAAGCATGACACCATACTAGGACTTGGCGGGTTTGTGGAATGATGAATGGTACGTGTCTGTAGATACAAGTGGTGTTTCACGGTAGGTGACGGGCCTATCTGCACAAGTCCCAGTCTCGACTCTGTGCACTGGTGGTGTGAGTACAGATTCAAGCCGCCGTGGATCATGGTTGATCGTCCTTTACATGTGACTGTGTCCGAGTAATTACAATGAAGGGAAGGTGATGCGGGTTCGATTCCCCCCGGTGGCCTAGAGTCCCTCGAAGATTTTTTACTCGGCGAGTGATCCAGATCCCTTCCTTATTATTGGATTGGATTAACGTTGTTCCGACTCCTCAACACCTGCTACTACCAGAGCAATGAGCCGTGGCCTACGGCCGCCACCTGCTTTGTTCCAAGTATTTTCTTAGATCAAGATATTCATTGAGTATGCCAGGTCGATCCAAGCCGCTGTGGATCATTGGTTTACTCATCTTCAAGGTCACGAGTGAAGGCCGTGATGTGGGTTCGATTCCTACTGGCAGCATGGGGCGATACCGATACTTTTTGTGCCTTTACCTGGTTACTTATATGCATTATAGGGGCCGATTAAATTGCCGCTGTTGAGCATAGTTTCGCATGAGGGGTGAGTCTTTCGTGGACACTGGGTTGGTCCAAGTATGGATTTGACCCGGTTCCATTTGGGTTCCACCAACTCTTTCTGGCATTGTTGTCTTGGGTGTTGTTTCCATTCTTTTGCACCTTGTTCCCCCAGCTGCCCTTTTTTATTCCCTCACCGTGACAACGAGACAAAGTTCAACCAAAAGCTGAACTCCGGTCTGACCGCGACTATGATGTCGAGGCAAGTGACGTAAGGAGATAGTCTGCTTGCAAATTGCAATCACGTCACCGTCATCGTGCCATCGTCGTCGTCGCCCATCGCCGTTGAATAAGTATGGCCAGCACAGAAGAACAAGACCCGCCGCCCGCAACGAGCTCGGATGTTTCGCTGCCGTCGGTGGCACCACGACGCCGGCGACGGGCACCGCAGCGGCGCTCGCCTCCGCCAACGCGGGCATTGACCATCTCTTCGCGAATGACATCGCTCTCGCGCGCGCACGGCCTTCGCCGCCGACGTCATGTAGCCGTTCCACCGCCTCGCGCTCGGTGCCTTCCTATCTTGCTTCTACTGCTTCTTGCTTTCGGACGGACAATATTAATACTTGACCTGTCGTAGGCTGGTCTTTGTGACCTTCCACGCGTGGTGCTCCTTCTGGTAGGGTACCAGGACGAGCCGCGCACGGTGCAGACGTATAGGGCGATTGTGGATGGGTGCGTGTTATTCTTCGCTTTCTTCTTTTTCTCTCTGGAACCTGAACCCGAGCTCGTTGGTTCTATTTCGTCGAAGTCGCACTCGTATGACGAGGCTATGCTGTGTATCTCGCTCCTGCCTTCCGGACCGGGACAGGGTGTCGGTGGTGTGCTGCCGTCCTCACGGCGTTGCACTGTGAATGGGACGAACCACGCCGTCGATGAAATATGTACTTTAAAATTGGGTCGCGCTACGCCGTGGACGTGTTGTGGATATTGAACTGGGTGAGTTAGTTGTTATACCCTTCTCCCCTTCCTTTTTCCCTTTCCCTCTTCCTTTCCATTTCCCCCTTGTCATTCACTCCTTCGTTTCAGTTCATCATTCGCTCCCGTGCTAATGTTGCTACATCATTGCGGGCCAAGATCTTGCGCATGTCGAACGACCCGCAGGGCGCTATCGCGGTGCTGCAGCGCGCGCTCGAGGCTCCCCAGACGTTCGTGCAGGCGGATACGTTGATGCGTCCCCACCATTCTCTCTACTTTCCTCTTCCTCCAGTGTCATCACACCCGTACCCCCATCCACACGTTGTTACCTTACTCGTCACCTGTGACAGTATTGACTTGTTGTGCGTTTCTAGCTCGTCTTCGAATTCGCGTGGTTGCAGCTCGCGCAGCGCCGGCATCAGGAGGCGGCGGACGCGTTTGTGAAGCTGACGGAGTTGAACTCTTGGCATGTTCTTCCTTCTCCTTTGTTTCGCCCCCGCGACCCACCTTGCTTCCCTCTCATCCCAAATCCTTTTCCTTCCCTCTACCAAATCCTCATTGCTCTCATCAAACGCAATAAAGTACGAGAAATACCAGCCAACTAATGACTCCGCAGGTCGCACGCCACATGCTACTTCATTGCCGCTGGGTGCTACGTCTCGCTCGGCAGCCGCACCAAGGCGCAGGAGCTGTTCGACCCGCTGCCGGAGCTGCTGCAACGGGAGAAGGTTGGCGGGAAGGATTTGGCGACGGAGGTGTTGATTAGGAAGCACTGTGGGTTTGTTGGCTTTCGCTTTGAGATGCTGAAACACACATCCAGTAGAGTTCTCCAAAGAGAAGCAAAAGCGGCGCGGTGGAGGTCCGACAAAGTTCGTCGAGTGCATTGGCATCGGCCCTGCGGATGGTGCGTCTGCTCGTGCTGCATTGAGATCATCTGAGGACGAGTTCTTCTTGCTCCATAGAGCTCGCAATATGTGCGTTGCATGTTCTTGTTCACTATGGGATCTTCCTGACCCGATGTAGTCTGGAATATGCCCCAGCGCATCGACGACGCCGTTGCGGAGGGGCACATCGCGGAGCTCGCGGCACTTACGGTACCGATTCCGTTGCTGCCTGCAGTCTATGAGAAGTATAATGTGCAGCTTGGTTTGCCCCTTTTTTTTCACGTTTTCATTACATTCCGTACATGCTACTGGGCCGCCTTGAATTGTCTCTGATCCCATTGCTTTTCCTCCGATTTGTAGCCCGACCAGCCTTCCGCCACTTCTCGGCTTTCAATCAAGGCGTATTTAAAACTGCCTTGTTTGCAGAGCGATATCCGACCTCGCGTACGTCCTGCCCTCACTCCCGGTGAAGCGGAGCGACTGGTGCACCCCGGGAGCATTATCGACTCCGGGAAACGCGTCGTCGTCTTCCTCGACACGGGAGCGGAAGGCGAGGACGCCGTGCCCTTCATCCTCTCTGAGTTCCAGCTGCTTCCTGCTTTCCGTCTTCCCTACTTCCCTCCCTCCGACATCCACTCTTCCTTCCTCTGTCCTCAGCTTGTGGTTTCTTATGGTGTTTTGTATGTACCTAGATCTGGGAAACACCCTTCTCCGTTACCGACGTGCTCGCTGAACTGGAGAACGTCATCCCAATCAGTGATGTGACCCGGCTTGCTTATCTACCCACTGCCCATCATACGCATCTCCAACATGTCTGTTGCACATTTGCTCCAGCCTGCGGAGTGCTGATTAGGTATGTATTTGATCGTAATCCTTGCTTCGACACTTCCTGATTGCTGTGATCCCCATCAGACACGTCGTTTTCTTGTACAGGTAAGTGGCGCCATTGCCCCTTCACTCTGAAAACTTGAACTCCCCTCAGGACTTGTCGACTATCCACAGGACTTGCCGGTTACCCCCATCAGTCCCGTGATTGGAGCCCAAACTTGTGTGTTTTCAGGTGCACAAATTTCCCTCACCTTTTAATGGATCGGGAACACTCGATCCCAGGGTTGTGTGGAGCACTGTTTGAATGAATCAATGATTGTGACATTCGAATTTTGAGGCCTGATTAGGCTGAAAAACTGCCAAAATTTTGGTCTGGCATTCACACCGGCAATTGCCAAGTTTTGGAAGGCCTGACGTTGATGACGCCACACTAAGTGTCGAAATCAACATCAGGCTGAATGAAATTTAACCTGAGTTCTTTAGTCTCATTTTGTCTGCTATAATATCTGAAATTAATGTTGCCGCAACTCAGTCGACTCAGAAGCGACTCGGCCGACTTAACTCAAATAAGTCAACAACACCATGCATTATCCCAAGTATTATCCCTCACCTTGATAGAGACCTTAGGCGTGCCTAACATACCCCAAGCATTCTATCTGCCATCAGGCCGTTGTTGAGAAATAAGAAATTTATTGCTCTTGGAGTTGTCTCCAACTCATGCATCAGGACAATCTGAAATTACTTCAGAGACCATCATAGCCCAAGAAAGACATGATGGATCTCATAGTAAACCCCCGTCTATATAGAAAGGTGGGAGGGGCGGGAAAAGTTTCATAGATAATTATAATACTAGTGCTGTCTATGAAGACAACTATAATACTAGTGCCGTCTATGAAATGTCCATAGCCATAGCTCTCATAGCTCTCATAGATCCCATAGTTGCTGCGGTCGAAACTGGTTCACATCGCTTCAATAGCAGCTTATAGACATCAAAGATATTAAAAGGCAAAATTGTCGCACAGAAAGCATTGTATATTATTCACAGTAACTACTGACTACTGGGTGATGAGCAAACAGCGAAATTAGGGTGAGACGTAGACGGTGTGCTACATCAAACTAATTTTACGATGCGGTTCATATGCTACATAGCGCAGAGGAAGCTCTGGGTGCTGGAAGCAGATCCGACTCAATGTGCATTGATCCTGAACTTGAACTGACTTGAAATTTGGTGTGTGAGTTTGCTCAGCTTGGGGACAATTGAAGGAGGTTGACGGCTTCGGAAAAGGAGACTATATTCAACTTGAGGGAACTTGAAGAAGCTTGACGTACACGAGCGGATTGGGGAAAAGAGGTGCTCATTTAACTTGAGGGAATTTGAGGATATTTGAGGCGGAGGGGTGAGTGGATGGGCGGGTTCGCAAATGGAGAGCAGCAGCGAAGAGAATCTCGAGTACAACTCGAGTCTTGACCAGATTGACAGTCGGGCAGGGTAGATTCATTCTGTCGATCTGTGTTTACACATTGTGTGCAGATGGTGGTTGTCGGTGGGCCAGTGATAATAGATACCGGCAGTCCAAGCTCAAAGGAGGCGAGATTTAGAGCAGAAAGCAGGGCATTCGGTCGACTGTTGGCACTCGCAGACTCCAGAGGAACTGCTATGATGTTGGGAAGGTGTAGGGCGTGGTGGAGGAAGATGGGGGGAAAAGATGAGAGAGTAAGTGACATGGCATGATCAACATTTCCTTTTGATGGACGGTGACAGACCTGGTATTGGGGCACCCGGGCATTTATTCAAATCTGCTCGAGTTGCAATGTACTATAATGTACTTCACTACATTACAACGTCATCTCACAAAGAGCTAATGCTGGCCTGAGCAGTTAGTTAAGAGGGATATAATGTGTCTCGAACCATTAGAAAGACGCTGGACAACAATCCTGGTAAAGGGTTGAAGTGGGAAGTCGCTAATGGAGCAATCACGGAAAGT